AGTTTTGTCGCGATTGAAAGAAAGACAAGTCCTATTTAAGATATTAAGCGTGGTAAAAGTTATATTTGCTTGTAACAGAGCCGCCCCACCCAAACAAAACAAGACATTACTGAAGCACTACAGCAATAATTACAAAACAATTGATTTTCATATTAGACTTTAACTTTCAATATATGCTGTCTCGCCTTTCGCCGGCCGCATCTACGATATTTTCAAGTGTTGCAACCTGCAACAGATTACCATATTTGTTTGAATTTGAATCACAGCTGCATTTTATAGGGCTAAGCTCTTGATCAGTATGTGTGCTTATAAATAAACTCAATTTCAGTGAAGTCAAACAAAGCCATAACAGCAAAACAAAGAACAGACATTGCACTATGTTTGACATCGACAAGTTGAGAGGAAACATTTAATCTTTTAAATCCGTTTTCTTACCTTAAATTCTATTTTTGGACAACAGTAATATACAGCAGCTTTTTGTGCTATAATAAATAATTTTTCCATTTTTGAACGACAAATTTGAGATTGAATATAATAATTATAGATTGCTATAAAAGTATGACAGAATATCAATATCTAGCCTTACTCATTGCAAATAAGCTGAAAGTCTTGATTGAAGGGAAAACACTTTTAATGTTTCAAAAAGCGCTAATTGTTTTGCGCGAAAATGATTTTAATACTTTTTCAGAACCCTTATAAGTTCAAATTAATGAATTTGATAGTTTAAATTAACACACCGCTTACAATGGTGAATTTTATTCATGTTATTTTTAGTACACTGATCTTGATGCGGTTGGTTGTTCAATACCAATTTTGTTTTTGCAAATCCTTCCATTGAAGGTCAGATACTTCAGAAAAGCCTTTCTATACCGTAGACTGTTGAAGGCATACAAGAACGGGTTTACTGCAGACTTCATCCAAAGTAACCAGTTGAAAAATTCATACAAACTTGTATTAACACAATCCCCACAAAATGATATCACCATGGTAGTGATGGAATACGGAGCCCAGAACAATAAGAATGCGACCACTAAGCTGGCCAAAAACTTAGCTGCCCTATCATGACTGTTTTTACGCGAGTTCGATACACTTCTTTGCACTATTTCGGTTGTATTCTTTCGTTTTTCATATGAGTCGTCGTTTTTTCTTTGGTTTTGCTTCACATCTTTACAGTTACTATGCGGGTTATTAACAACACCTTCCTTCGGTTCAAAACCGGGAGAATATTGTTTGATTTTACAAGTTTTCAGGGAGTCTTCTTTGGATTTGTCTTGGTCCGAGCAACTCCCAGGATTTGTATCTAACGTTTGAATAACAACCTGATAAGTTTGGGCCGGTTTCACTTTCATACGTCTCCGTATCTTGAGATACAGTATCGAATTTAGTAGCGTGAGACCAAAGAACGGCAATACAAACTCAACAATAGATGTCGCTGTGGTGAAAATCTGATCATAAGCGAATTCTGCATCGCAGTCCTTCTCTTCAACTGTTGAATAACCAACCCAATGATTCCAGCCGATTATCGCTGGTCCGTACACGAGAAACGAAACAAGCCACGATATAGATATTTGTACAAGTGCAACTGTCTTTGTTACCCTTTGAGTATATGCTGGTCCCATACTTACCATGAGCAATCTATCCAGGCTTAGAATGAGCATCAATAGAATTGATTCGAAACAAAGCGTAAAGTCCAACACTAACCACACCTTGCAGAAGGCATATCCAAAGGGCCACGTGAATTCCATCAACGTGTACACTGCATAAAAAGTCATGCTGGAACAGCATAGCATTAGGTCAGTGAACGCTAAATTGACGATAAAGAAATCATAAACCGTTGCGGACTGTCGGTTTTTGAAGAATGCGACTAAAGTTAAAACGTTGCCACTTATGCCAATGATAATAAGGAGCGATAATCCCAACCCTGATGGAATCTGCACGGCAGAGGTCATAGGGATGATGCTCTCATCGTAGTCGTCATAGTCCTCTGTCGTCATGGTAATCGTCAACTAAAATCTAATAAATTAATGGTATTATTTTATGCAATGGAAGAAAGAAAGAAAAAAGTAAAAAAGACAGAAAGTATGAAATGAATGAATGAATGGATGGATGGATGGATGGATGTATGTATGAATGAATGAAGGAAGGAAGGAAGGAAGGAAGGAAGGAAAATATATTTTCCTAAAATAAGTAAATAAATAAGTATTAAAATAAATGAAGGAAAGAACAATCAATCAATCAATCAATCAATAAAAGTATTAGTCTATCGATGTGCTTAGTCAAAAACTAAACAAATAAAATGATGATAAAAGAAAAATAAAAAAAAAATAATTCATTAAAAAAAAAAAAAAAGCAAAAAAGCAAAAAAAAAAAACCCTTGTCTAGTGTATAGCACCATCTAGAAATCTCGAAATCTGATAAAATCATAGATAAAAAATATTTTTGTTAATAACACCTATTTAGATATATATTTTTCAAAACCTTTTACTGTAGCAGACAAGTTTCAAAGTAAATAATTATGTTTAAAAAAAAAAAATAATAATAAAAGCAAAAAAAAACAAAACAACAACAAAAAAACCCACACAGACTAAATCTAAAAACTAAAAAACTAAAACTTCGGTCTTATATAGCATCAAATCTATTAAGATGTTTTAAAAAAATTTCCACTTACCTCAGAATATTTGATTATTAGATCAAAACCACACGTAATTATGTTTTCAGTTAAAATTCCATGTCTGCAATACTGTTTGAAATTCTAGGGAAATATCATAATCAAACATAGATAACTTTAATTAAAAACCCTATAGAGGTCACGTGTTCAAATCAGCGTGTATCGAATTACAATATTAGTGTACAAACACTTCTCAAATCTCAATAACATTCGTGGAATTACACTTCTAACATTGGAAACAGTCCATTAAAAGATACTCTAGTGTGATAGAAACGTTTTAAGCACATTCGGTTTAAAACCACCTTGATACCTTTAATGACGTTTTTGCTTGGCAGGTTTATTTATGATGTTGTTATGTTATCTTCAAAAATATGAATGAGAGGAGTTTTAGTAAAAAACCCAAACAACTGGCCCCTGGGTAATCCCGTTTATTTGCCCGCAATACGTAGTCACCCTCCTTATACCTTACATAATTTGTATGTATCTACAAAATATTCTCTATAAATTCTCTATTCATTATTAATAAAATATTCTATATCAATTATTAATAATTAAGTTATTGTTATACTATTATGTTTTACAATAAAGGCATTTAACAAGAATCGGAAAACATACTCAGTTTTCTAAGACATTCTTTTTTACTCCCCCGTGCACCGAACAAAAAAGTTTTTCCATCTTTAATAATAAGTCACTGATTCCGGAGACCGTAATAATTAAAATAGCACTGAGATACATTTCGGGCTATATTTTACAGTTGTCGCAAACATAGAAATATCTGGTTGTTGTTTATACTTAATAATGTTTCATAATGTAGCGTAGCATATCATCCAAAACATAGCATATATAAAATAACATACATTAATATTATAGCATATCATTTTATATAATATTGTTTTTACAGTCCATTTATAACGGAGCGTAACGTTAAGTAACTTAACGTTACGTACCGTTACTATATGTAACATAACATACATAATGTAACGGATTTGAATATTTGCATTACATATTTTATTACTTAGCGAAGTTTCATACAAATTGCTATCGCCTTTGCATGTCCTGTAAACACACAATTAATTAATTATATTTTTTCTAGAATTACTTTTTTTACACTATACCAACACTGAGTGTGCCGATTCCTTTTGACTCATAATGTATAGTGGTTTTCAACCCCATATAATATAACATACCGTAACGTATAACATAACATGACGTAACTTACTAAAATACCTGCACATAACAGCACTTTACACAGCGTAATTTCACATAAAATGCACAAAACCGTGATATCAGTGCAAAATGCAACACATGTGCATGAAATATTTTTCTTCCTATGATTCCGAGATCATTTCTGGCCGCTTTTTTAATTTGTACAATATTTCACATTTAAAGACTTGTTTCTCAATTTAGACAAATTCAGTTTTATTTATATTTAGTTATGAAAAGGGGAAATAACTATTGTTAGCCTTGTGCATCTTACTGTAGTGTTAACCTCCCCTGTATTATCTGGTAATGACAATATATATTTGTGATTAAAGTATAATGAACCTTAACCTTAACCAAGTTAAATGTATCAAATGCACTTGTCCATGTTTCAATCTGGACTAAACCATTTATTATTTTTAGGGAACTTTATAATAGAAAATAGTGCAGACCCACATTTATGTGTTACTTTGTAATTGTTCTTGATATAACGCAATGAAAAGTTCTAAGTGTGTACAGAGACTTTATATGAAAATAGGACTATGGTACTTTGAATAAATCAAGTGCAACCTATTGCCATTTCTACGGCAATGCACGGCCGCGCACGGCCACACACAACACATGATGTTTCATTTCTGAAGGAAAATGATAATGTTGTATGCGCCTTAATCTAAAATGTGCGTGTATAAAATATACTGTAATATTGTTGAATTATTACAATAGAAAAATGAAGAACTAATCAATTTAAATAAAAAAGTTGCCCAAGGATCGAATTCAATCATTACCTAGTTAACCTTTGAAATCTCCAGCTGGATTAATTTAAACTGAGAGGTATTGTTTTGAAATTAAGACGTAAGGGGGAAGGAAATAAGGAAGGTTTTTTTCATTCGTAGCTTTATGACAAAGATAGTAATATCATAGATGATTATTACAGTTCAAATCGATCGGATTGAAATCAAAACAATACATGTACATGAATAATCAAGTATAATTATAAAATATAACTTCATAACAATTGCAAATCCTTTTGGGGGAATATCATAAGAATTACATTTCTTATAACATAAATATCAAAACAAATACATTCTTTTCTAAATTTAATTATACTAATAGTTACATTTCTGTTTGTATAAATATCATAACACTTACACTTTTATTTTGATTTATATACATGTACATGTATTTAGAAGTTTATATATTTTGAAAAAGATAACAATTAATTTTCAATTACATAAATATAACAGTCACAATTCTTTGGATAAATACATTTTTATGGGACTAAATATCATACCAATTACATTTCTAATTTAAAATAAATATCATAAAAATATATTTTTATTTGATAAAATGTCATAGCAATTATTTGAATAAATATCACAACAAGTACATTTTCAATTGCATAAATATGATAAAAATGACATTTTATTTGAACAAATATCATAAAAAATACATTTTTGTTGGAATAAATATTACAATAGTTGCATTTTTTTTGGTTAAAATGTCATAGCAATTACAATTTTATTTGGATAAATATCATAACAATCACATTCATTTATTAAATATCATAATAATTACATTTCTATTTAAAAAATATCATAACAAAGCCAATAATTTTCATTTCATAATAATTACATTTTTTAAACCAACATCATAACACTTACAATTCTGTTTGTATAATTTCCATGACTATAACAATGCTATTAATAAAAATAAACTAAATAAAATATTAATGAATATACGTTTATAAAGGTACTCATTTCTCTTGAAATTAATGACTAAAATTTAATTCTTATTCAAATCTTAGAAACTATGAGGCAATGAATAAGAACACAAATGTCAACAATAAGACTAGTTTTTTTTAGTTTATTTCTGCTCTCGATGAACTCAACTTTACTCATAAACATATCGCCAAAAGATATTAAAATATATGCTTAAATTTTTGTTTTAAAAACTATTGTTAATGAAACAACGTAGCTGTTGCTACAAACCAACAAACAACAAACTTCTTAAAATATAAGTTTATATATTTAAAGCATGCAGTGTAACCCCTGCAGAACGAGTCTCCTCTAAGATTTAGAAGCATCTAATATCTATGTCTCCCATAGGGTATTGCTCTGAAGAAGTTTTACTGTATAATTCAACGAGAAAAGGTCTAATTTGGCAAGATGGAGCTATCAATATTATACGATAAATGTCCGTTCAATGCAATGAGCCGGAATCAATCCTTCTATAACAACTTCCTCAAACTTGCGAGCAAAATTTTGTGCGCGGTCATCTTCTATTTCTTCATATAAAATATCTGGATCAGTAAGGTTTGTGTATATGACGCTGGTCGGCATCATATTTGTGTTTATCACAGCAATCTTTCGAGATCCCGGTGAATAATTATATCCCTTCTTAGCAAAGTCGATGGCGGCTTCCCGTGAGGCGGATGTAGATATATATTGGGACTGAGAGTAAGATCCATTATCAACATGTTCCTCTATCGTTTTATTTGCATTTGGATTCTTTGGACGGATGCCAAGGGAAATATTTTCGTTGTCCCTCAATACACGGAAAAGCCGCTCGTATGGTGCACTTGAGGACATGGTTTACCTGTAATTGACCAAAAAGATCATTTTAATAGCATTAGTCATATCAAAATCTTAACTCCACTTTCTATAAAGATAAATACATGCATCCTTATTGTTTGAATTTAAAAGAAGAAGAAGAAGATGGATGGTGATGGTGATGGTGATGATGAAAAAAAGAAAAAGAATATTTCAATAATTATGATCAAGAACATGTTTACGTATGTTAAGTTACAAAGTCATTCCATGTTACAATTCTTCGGGAATCAGCCAAAAAGTTCTTTTGCAAAATAAAAATAAAACAAAAACAAACAACAACAAAAAAACCCCCAAAAAAACAACAAAAGCAACAACAACTAAAACATAAAAATCAACAAACGAAAAAACAAACAAAAAACAACAACAACAACAAAACCCAGCTTTTTTATGGTTAAACATTTATAAAAAGATCAAATTACCCTTAAAATTTAATTTTGCAACTTGATTCTTTCGACTTTGTAATCTTAAACGTTTCATTCTTAGAATGTCTTTTGACTGTCAGTCTAGCTATTTTATTCTCTTTTAACTGCAATATTCCATCTGTACTCGTTTGACTGTAATAGTTGAAATGTGTGTTCTTTTGAATATAATCTTAGATGCACTTACATTCCTAAATTATATACGGAAAATTCATTCAACCATCTGACCAGTAATGGTGTTGCAATTCGAAAGTATTCCTTTTTTGCAATAAAATATACATATTTCAGTGCATCGAATGAATAACCCTGTCCTGACACCATGATAAACAACGAAGATAATGAGCCGAGTACTTTTAAGTAAATGATAAAAAACTTTTGAAAAATGAAACTGATAAAATTTCTAACGCAAAATGGCATTTTTTACTAAATATATCTTAATACATTTCAAGACATTGTCAATGCTACCTCACTTCATTTATCATAATCAAAATAGTTATTTATGATGTACAAAATATTTTATACCTTTTTACACAATCCAATGTTAATATCATCTGGTGTATAGTTTGTCAGTGAATGCGGTGAAACGCAGTACGTATTTATCTATTTATAGACATTACGAACATAATCTATATATAGACATCAGAACTAAAAACGGAAATCCCAGTTTTTCATTTATAAATAGAATAAGATATTAACATATTTTAAATTTTCTTTTATCACATACTCGTGCCGATATAAATGGTATGAAACGGCCGTGCATATATTTTGACGTGTACAAACGTAGTGTAAAGACGCACTTTAAGATCCTATTACTCCTTTTTATGGTTTTATAACATAAATATGATGCTCAAATGAAGATTTATCAATAATGTAATTTCCCGAAAGCTTTATTTGTAAAGATATTACCGAATTTACATTTCATGTAAATAAAGGGAGGTAATAAAAATATTTCTTTAAAGTTTAAGCCAAAATTTTCAGTAAGAAATGAATGCATATTTTTAAACGATTACTAAAAATGCGTATAAACATTTGCAGTACATATTTTACATATTCTTTTGTGTTTGAAAAATGTTTGAGAAGCATAAATATATACATATATTATATTTCACGCAAGTGTCGTTAGAACCTTAATTACAACATTTAGGATTTTTAAACGTTAGCGTTACTCTATTTGGGCTTATAATGGAAAATGATTCTTTAGCACTTTCACAAGTAGTCTTTGATTTTATGTATACCTGTAATTGATTATTCTAACACTGTATTTTGTCAAAAACTGTCCAAAGTGATACAAATTGCGACAAATTTCTTCTCCAACAAGTACGTACAAATCAGCGTAAAGCTTGAGGGTAAATAGAGACAGATGATAAATATGTTTATCTATTTACGCGCCAGTCAACTGGAGATAATGTTAGTTTTCAAATATTTAAGCTGATTAAAAGACTTTTTTCCTTCGTTTTACATTATCGAAGATTTCACTCTCATTTTCTGTTTACATCTGATAATTACTTTCAATCCGTATTAAATCCCAAGTTACTATGACTAATAGCCGATGATACCATTATCGTTCTTTACAAAGAGCAAGCACTTAAGTTATGGTTTTAAAGTATGTTAAATGCTTATCACCTGAATAAACCCCAACTAAATCAAGTACATGAGCCGGACTGTCCATAATCAATAAATAAATTGCCTTTATTTGTTACATAATTTTTACGGGTGTATGAACATCGTTGCAGGAGGTTTCGTCGTATCCAATTATTCGCAAATAATTTACCTATGTTCGATGCAGGAGGTCAGTATTAAAGTGACAAAACTTTGTTGGATTTTGAAATTTCAATATAGCTTGTAATAATTATCAATTTTTCATATTTCTTCTACGCATATGCATGTACTTGTATGAATGCTTGTCTGATTTTTTCCGCCGATGTTAACAGATTTTGGTGACATGTGGGTCGTCGGTCCATCCAATCGACTTCTATGTATAAAAAAGTTGTAATTACTATTGTCTCCGATAGTGACCGATTACTCGATTACTTATCTCACATCGTTGAGGACAGGTAACCATTAGACTCAATCTAAGAGATTTATTTTCACGCAGAAATTCCTCCTCCCCTCGGGGATCGAACGAGAGACCCCCGGATGACTTATCCTATGCTTTCCCTGTTGGGATAAACGGGCGGACTTGAAGGAATGCGGAGTTTGCCCTTCATCTGAAGTCGTGACCAGTTTCCTTTATATGTTTTCGTTTAGTTGAATATGAGCAACTGTTTAAAGTCAATTTTATATAAATGCAAAAGATGCAATATCATTCTAGAATATATAAATCATAAGTTTGACTACAATTAGACATCATGCATTTATTCTGTAAATTGCAACCTTTATCTGTTTGTATGAGAATAAAATGTCATCTTTTCTAACATTTTCCTTGGTTGACACTTGAAGCATACATTTGAATTTTACTTTATGTAAAGCACCTCTTTTATCTAACATGAACTGTACAATTTAATAATTTGAAATCCGGTTTATAATGTGCTTTAAATTATGAATGCCCTTGATTCATTTCCTATTATTTCCTTTAGTAGTAATAGTTATACACTGTAGTATATAAAACGAGTTAGTAACGAGGATATATACACAGGCTGGGGCGACATCGAGAAATGTTTCTGTTAAAACAATGACCATTTTACAGCAACATCCCAAGATGTCGCCCCAGCTAGTGTTTACCCCCGTTACTAACGAGTTTCATTTTATATATAATAAATGTACTGTTTAATTCATACATTTTGGTAACAGACACTAGTAAAACAAGAGCCACCGCCGGGCGGGGGCAACGCTCGACTTTTTACTTTCTCAAAAAGCAAACAAAGAAATGTTTGAACAAAATCTTAACGTTTCCTTTTTATAAATTAATTGGTCTGTCTTGTCACATTAGTTTTGTCTATATATTTCGTATATATAAATATACTAATTGAGTCTGTCTGGTTATTTTTAAGGGTTATCCTTGAAGATTATTATGTTCAAGTTTGAAGACAATCCATTCAAAAATAACAAAGTTACAGCCAATTATAGCCCAAAAAATGAAAATTTCAATAATTTGACCTTCAAAGTCAAGGTCATTTATGAGGAAGGTCAAGGTCTGTCTGGTTATTTTTAAGGGATATCCTTGACCATTATTATTGTCAAGTTTGAAGACAATCCATTCAAAAATAACAAAGACAATAACATCATGAACAAGGAAAATTTGGACTTTTAACCTTGAAGGTCAACGTCATATATTGATGAAGGTCAATGTTAGTGTGGTCTACTAAAAGGTCTTTTCCCAAGGGTTGTTGTGGCCAAGTATGACGACAATACACCAAGAAATAAAAAAGTTATGATCCAGGTACAAGTTTGCGAACGGCAACGGCAACGGCAACGGCAAAGGCAACGGCAACGGCAACGCCGCCGCGACTATAGCAATACCTCTACTTTCTTGTTTTCAAAAAAAAGTCGAGCTAAAAATGAGCACTTCTGTCCCGTATGCCCTTTCGCTTTTGTTTCATATGAAACCCTCAGTTGAAATGAACCAATAGCAGCTTATACAACCCTTGTAAACGGTTACCATGTTGATTCAAGATTTAAGGGCATTTTTCGGTGGAAATAATTCATTCAGCAGATGTACCTTTAACTTTTAGCAGTTGTGTATGAATCGGTGAAAAAACTGTACTGTTATATAACAGTACAGTTTGTAAATGCTCATTGGAATTGTACTGTGTATATTGGGTAAGTATGAACAAAGAAAAAGTTCCAAACCATGCGATAAAATTGGTTATAAAAACGCTTCATACGTGTTTTGCCTTGTGCAATAACCCGTTTTTGGTATCCTACTGGGCTCATTGTCAATGATATTATGTTATTTGTTGTTTTTAGGGGATGTGTTTATTGAATATTACCCTTCAATTTTGATATGTTTTCATCTTGCTTTCCAAAATTACCATAAATCAACAAGAGCACCGTTACTCTGTTTACGCTCGTCTGTTAAGGGGATCAGCTCTCAGTAGCCAATTTTTATCAATGTACAAGTAAATAAGTAGACAAAAAACCTCTCTTAATACTGTTTCCAGATAAAATTCTATTCTAAATATGTCTGCAATACTGTTTGTAGATATGTGGCAATATCATTATCAAACTAAGATAACTTAGATAAGCCTCGGGTTCAAATAAACAAGTATTGAATAACGATATTAGTGTACAAAAACACTTTTAAAACATCAATGCATGGCATCACCTTTTCATCATTGGGTACAGTCCATAGTAAATATACTCTAGTGCGTATAGAAATGCGTATGTAAACCTACCGGTATAAATCTTCTTTGATACATTAAATGACATTTTTGGTTTGAAATGTTCATTATATTAATATTAAGTTATGTTATCTTCAAAAACATAAGGCGTTTCAAATGATTAGCATTTAACATTGTGATTGACCAACAGTTGATACTAGAAAGTACTAAGTTGTCAGGATAAAATAAAAATCTGGCTGAGATATAAAACGATTGCCCACTCTTTTAATAAATTGAATGCTTCAGGTTGAACAGGGTAACATATATCAGATTACTAATTTCTCATTCAATATTAATTACTTTGTTAAAGAACTTGATTTTGTTCAAAACTTAATTTTGTGTGTACTTTAAGTTAGTGAGTTTGTTCCATCAAATCCAAGAGAGTCAAAAAAGGTCATCCAACTATCAGATGTTGAGGTAAATCAAATGCAAGTTTCAATAAAAGTTAGGCATTCCAAAACCGATCAGTTAAGTCAGGGTACTAGATTAATCATCCCACATTCTGGACAGGGAACAACAGTTAACTCTACTCTTTTGCAGTATCTTGCAGTTAGACCTAATATTTCTTGTCAGTTTCTCTGTCATTTTGATGGAACAAACCTTACTTCATACCAATTTAACTTTGTTATGAGGAAAGTTCTTGAATTCAGTAACTATAACATCAAATATTATTAATCACACTCTTTTCGTATAGGTTCTGCAACTGATTTATATTTACAAGGTTTTTTCAGAGGAGCAAATTAAAAACCTTGGAAGATTGAAAGTTCAGCAAATCAGTATTATATTCGTATTTAGTTACATGTATTTAGTTTTACACGATGCTGAGATCTTTTTCCAATTTGCAGGTCCATTACAAGTGTATATAGTTGGCTCGTCAATAATAAAATATGCTGAGCAACATGCAAAGAATACTGTTGGTCAACACCTGGGCTTAAACAGGAATAAAAGTTTTCTAAATTGGAAAGGTGTTTCTTCTTTGAAAAAAATATGAAAAACAAGATCAACAAGGAAAGGCGGCGTTCAATGAACGCAACCCCCATATGACCCAGCAACAAGAACCAATGGCAAGGAGCCCATGCACTATCAGCCATTGAAGAACTTGTTCAACATAATAGCCCAGACATAATTGTCATTCATTGTGGAGGTAACAATGTCGGTTCAACTCCATTAGGTCAACTAATGTTTTCACTAAGATCACTACTGAATGAGCTTTTTCAAAAATATTCATTTGCTCTTATAGTATTTTCACAAATTTTACCAAGATTAGAATGGCGTTATGAACGCAATCACAACTCTTTAGAACTAGCTCGTAAACGCATCAATAATTCCATTTCGACAAAAATAGTTAAAAAAGGTGGAGCTTTGATTAAGTATCCAGAAATAGTTGAAGAATCACCGGCCTTGTTTCGCAGCGACCAAGTCCATTTGTCGAGTTTGGGCAATGACATTTTTCTAAACACTTTGCAAGGGGCACTATATAAGTTTTGTCATAATAATGATGTTGTTTCTTTTCCTGACGTCTCTGAGGTTGGTCCATGGCTTGCTATGTAATTCCCCTTTGCCCGTACGCTTTGTGGCGGTGGACTTCTGCCGAAGTCCATTTGGCAGAATACGGGCATGGTTTATTTAGAGACAGATATTTTATTAAGGAGGCTGCCCGTTGATAGTGAAATTTGGCGCCTCACTGTTGTTTAATGTTTAGCAAAATGTTTGCTATCACCAGACTGTCCTGCATATTTGGGCAAGGACCTTTTTATATTTCATGATGCAGTATCTGATCACCAGGCTGTTTTCATGTTTTTTTTTCAGTTGATACACTTTGTTTTGTTGTTTTTGTAGGCTACCAGTTGTGCCTCATTGTATTTGATTTCATATGAAACATATATTTCAAGCAGCCATGGACATAAATTGCCAATACAATACAAAATAAATTTATAGAAATGATAACACCTTTTTGTTTTCATCAATAATTTATTTTGCCCCAACCTGTTGTGCTGATAAAAGGAACTATTGCAAAATGTAAAATTATTTTGACTTTCACCTTTTTACTCACTATATACCATTGAATGGACATAATGTCACTTTAGAGGAACTCCTCTGAGGTCTGAAGGTATAAAACATAACATTTGGAAATCTTACGAATATCAAGTGAAAAGTGAAGCACTTAAGATGGAAAATCCTGGAAAATATAATAAGGAAATATATACTCGATTAAAATCTTTTAATCAATTTTATATGCGATTACTAGCAAGAAATTTGAGAGAAAAGTGTTGAAACGCTTTTCATGCTTTGGTTATTTTCTCACAATAAAAATGATTCTTCTGGTAAAATAGGATGAGGGAATGAGCACAAGTTATTAGATAAGACCTAAATCAATTGACACACAAATCTGGGGACAAATAATATCACCCCCGTCATGTCAAGAAACGTCTGTGTAAGAGTAAAAAAATCATATTAGATTGTATGCCAAGTTTGATTTAGTCTGTTCATGGGATACAATGAAAAGTGCAATATATTCTACACCCCCGTACCTGTTCACCTACCCTAACAGTTTTCCATCTTTAATAATAAAATAGTCAATGATTCCGAAGGAGGTCCTCGTAAAATAAACCAGCTACATGTTACAGCTGTCACAAACATAGAAACATTTGGTTATTGTTTATACTAACTGATGTTAAATAACGTGGCGTAGAATAACATCCATAATGAAGCGTAATTATATAAAATGACATACATCAAATAGCATAGCTTAATGTATATTATTGTTGTTTTTCCACTGTCCTTCTATAATGGAGAGTATCATGAAGTAACCTAACGCACGTAACATTAACATGCGTAACATAACATACATAATGTAACAGATAAAACATAACATACATGACATGAACCTTACTTTATCACATAAACCGCCGCGCGGGAGTTTAATAATGCCATTAAATAAAATGATATTACACTAGTGTAATAACACTTTGACGTGACGTCATTAATATTGCGGTATGATTATATAAACATAGCGTTAAAGCGCTGTTATAAAAATAAAAATGAAGATCTAAGCAATTTAAATTAAAAAGTTGCCCAAATATCGAAATCAAATATTACATAGTTTACCGTTGAAATCTGCGGTTAATTTAAAATGAGAGGTAAAGTTTTGAAATCAAGACGTAAGGGAAAATAAAGAGAGTTCAAAACAATACATGCACATGAATAATCAAGTATAATTAGAAATTGTAACTTCATAACAATTGCAATTCTTTTTGGGAGAATATTATATGAATTACATCAATACAATAACATTTTTTTTTGTTAAATTAAATTATACTTATCGTTACATTTCTGTATTTGTAAATATCATAACAGTAACACTTTTATTTTGATTTATAAACATGTATTTAGAATTTCATATATTTTTGAAAAAAGATAACAATTATTTTTCAATTGAATAAATATAACAGTCACAATTCTTTGGATAAATACAATTTTATGGGACTAAATTTCATACAAATTACATTTTTAATTAATATGTGTCATAATAAATACATTTTTATTTGACAAAATGTCATAGAAATTATTTGAACACACAAGTAAAATTTCAATTGCATAAATACTATAAAATGACATTTTTATTTGAATACATATCTTAACAAGTACATTTTTGTTGGAATAAATATCACAACAGTTACATTTTAACTTTATTTGAAAAATGTCATAGCAATTACATTTTTATCAAATATCATAAGAATTTCATTTCTTTTTAAATACATATCATTACAATTACATACAACTTTAATTTAACACTTTTAATTCTGTTTATCTTATTTTTCATGACAGTAACAATGCTATTAACATTAATAACATATATAAATAATCATTAAAAAAAGTACTCATTTCTTTTGAAATGAATGACTAATATGTATTAATTCTAATTCAAATCTAAAAAACTACGAGGCAACGAATAAGAACACAAATGTCAACAATAAGACTAGTTTTCTGAGTTTATTTTTTGCTCTCGATGAACTCCACTTTACTCATAAACAGAACGTCAAAATATATTTAAATATTCATGTTTGCTTAAATTTTTGAATTTTTGTTCTAAAAGCCCTTGCAAAAGAAACAAGGTAGCTGTAGCTACAAACCAGTAAACGACAGAATTCTTGAAATATCAGTTTATACATTAAAAGTATACAGTATAACCCCTGCAGAACGAGCCTCTTCAGAGCAATAAACTCTTTACAACAAAAGTAATATTCCTTTATAAAGCTATGAATTTCACAATAAATATAACTTCCGAGAGCAAAAACTCTAAGATTTAAAAGTATCTTATATCAATGTCTCCCAAAAGAATTGCTCTGAAGAAGGTTAACTGTATCATTCAACGAAAAAGGGTGTAATTTGGCAAGTTGGATCTATCAATATTATACGATAAATGTCCTTTCAATGCAATGAGCCGGAATACATCCTTCAATTACAACTTCCTCAAATTTGCGAGCAAAATTTTGTGCGCGGTCATCTTCTATCTCTTCATACAAAATATCTGGATCAGTAAGGTCTGTGTAAATGACGCTGGTTGGCATCTTTTTTGTGTTTATCACAGCAATTTTTCGAGATCCCGGGGAATAATTATATCCCTTCTTAGCAAAGTCGATGGCGGCTTCCCGTGAGGCGGATGTAGATATATATTGGGACTGAGAGTAAGATCCATTATCAACATGTTCCTCTATCGTTTTATTTGCATTTGGATTTTTTGGACGGATGCCACGGGAAATATCTTCGTTGTCCCTCAATACACGGAAAAGCCGCTCGTATGGTGCACTTGATGACATGGTTTACCTGTAATTGACCAAAAAGATTAGTAATATCAAAATTCTAAAACCTCACTTTCTATAAAGATATATACCTGCTTCCTTAATGTTAGAATGTGAAGAAGAAGAAGAAGAATAATAAGATGAAGAAGAAGAAAAAGAAGAAGAATATTTCAATAATTAAGATCAAGAACATGTTTACGTATGTTAAATTACAAAGTCATTCCATGCTACAATTCTTTCGGAAATCAGCCATAAGTTCTTTTACAAAATAAACAAACAACAGAAACAAAACAAAAGCAACAACTACAAAAAAACCCAGCTTTTTTATGGTTAATCATTTATAAAAAGATCACAACACCTTTAAAATTTAGTTTTGCAACTTGATTCTTTCGACTTTGTAATCTTAATCATTTCATTCTTAGAATGTCTTTTGATTGTCAGTCTAAATGTTTTGTTTTATGTTTCAACTGCATTATTCCATCTATACTTGTTTGACTGTAATAGTTGAAATGTGTGTTCCTTTAAACGTAATCTTAGATGCACTTACATTCCTAAATTATATACGGAAAATTCATTCAACCACCTGACCAGTAATGGTGTTGCAATTCGAAAGAATTCCTTTTTTGCAATAAAATATACATATTTCAGAGCATGGACAGGACTCCATGATAATGTGGCGGGTATTTTCAAATAAGAAATAAAAAAAACTTTTGAAAAATGAAACTGATAGAATTTTTTACGCAAAATGGCATTTTAAAACATCCTTTTTTACTAAATATCTCTTAATATATTTCAAGACATTGTCAATGCTACCTCACTTCATTTATCATAATCAAAAAAGTTATTAATGTTGTACAAAATATTTTATACCTTTTTACTCAATCCAATTTTAATATCACCTGGTGTATAGCTTGTCAGTGAATGCGGTGAAACGCAGTAAAATCTTATTAATATATAAATCTATTTATAGACATTACGAACATTATCTAATTATAGACATCAGAAGTAAAAACGGAAATCCCAGTTTTTTATTTATAAATAGAATGAAATATCAACAAACTTAAATGTTCCCGTGCCGATTTTATGAGTATTGAACGGCCGTGCATATATTTTGACGTGCAAAACAGTGTAAAGACGCGCTTAAAGATCATGTCACTCATTTTTTTATGGTTTTAATTCATAAATATGATGCTCAAATAAAGATTATATACCAGTAATGGTGTCGCAATTCAAAAGTATTCACTTTTTGCCAAACAATATACATATTTCAGTGTATCGAATGAAAACCCCTGTCCTGACATCATGAACAAAAAAAAACGAAGATAATGAGGCGGGTATTTTCAAATAAATGATAAAAAACTTTTGAAAAATGAAACTGATAGAATTTTAACGCAAAATGGCATTTTAAAACATCCTTTTTTACTAAATATATCTTAATATATTTCAAGACATTGTCAATGCTACCTCACTTCATTTATCATAATCAAAATAGTTATTTATGATGTACAAAATATTTTTATACCTTTTTACACAATCCAATTTTGATATCATCTGGTATTTAGTTTGTCAGTGAATGCGGTGAAACGCATTAAAATCTTATTAACGTATTAATCTATTTATAGACATTACGAACATATTCTATTTATAGACATCGGAACTAAAAACGGAAATCCCAGTTTTTCATTTATAAATAGAATAAGATATTAACATATTTTAAATTTTCTTTTATCACATACCCGTGCCGATTTTATGATTTGAATAAATGGTATGAAACGGCCGTGCATATATTTTGACGTGTACAAACATAGTGTAAAGACGCACTTAAAGATCCTGTTACTCTTTTTTATGGTTTAATATCATAAATATAATGCTCAATGAAGATTTATCAATAATGTAAGTTCCCGAAAGCTTTATTTGTAAAGAAATAACGAATTTACATTTCATTTAAATTAAGGGAGGTAATTAAAATATTTCTTTAGAGTTTAAAGTTTAAGCCAAAATTTTCAGTAAGAAATGAATGCATATATTTTAACGATTACTTATAATGCGTATAAACATTTGCAGTACATATTTTACATATTCTTTTGTGTTTGAAAATTGTTGAGAAACATAATGATATATACATATATTATATTTCACGCAAGTGTCGTTACAACCTTAATTACAACATTCAGGATTTTTAAACGTTAGCGTTACTCTATTTGGACTTATAATGGAACATGATTCCCAAGCACTTTTATAAGTTGTCTTTGATTTTATGTATACGTGTAATTATTATTCTAACACTGTATTTTGCCAAAAACTGTCCAAAGTAAAACAAATTGCGACAAATTTCTTCTCCAACAATACCGTACTAATCGGCGTAAAGCTTGAGGGTAAATAGAGACAGATAATAAATATGTTTATCTATTTACACATTATTGCACGCCGGTCAACTGGAGATAATGTTAGTTTTCAAATATTTAAGCTGATTGTTTACACAATACACAATCAAACAAAACGCGGGAAAAAAATGCACAAATATTTTTAAACCTTTTAAATACGATCCAATTTTAATATCACCTCGAGTGAATGTGCAGGAAAAGATTAACATAACCTATTTTTAGATATTACGACAATAATCTATTTATATACATCAGAACTAAAAACGGAAAACCCAGTTTTTCATTTATTAATAGAATAAGATATTAACATACAGCCAATCCTATTTAAAATGTTCCTTTATCACATATTCGTGCGGATTTTATGATTCATGTAAAAAGGTATTGAACCGCCGTGCCTATATTTTGACGTGTACAAACATAGTGTAAAGACGCGTTCAAACTTTAGCGTTACTCTATTGGGACGTCCTGATTTAATGTATACGTGTATTGGTTATTCTAACACTTCATTATGCCGAAAACTGTCCAAGGCAGTACAAATTGGGGCAAATTACCTTTCTAACCAGCTTAAGCTTGAGGGTAAATAGAGACAGATGATAAATATATTTATCTATTTACACATTACTGCTGACCGGTCAACTGGTGATAATTTTAGTTTTCAAAGATTAAACCTGATTATTTACACAAAAAACAAGCAAACAAAAAGCGATAAATATGAAGTTATCACTGAAAAAAGTCTTGTGAAGTCATAATATGACATAATCTTTACTCTTTAGCCTTTCATTGACGTGTCGGAGATAAGGGTGTATACACTGTGAATATAAAAATCGGCGTATTTACAGCTAGGATTTAGTAACGAATAAATATTTCCTCCGTAAGAGTTTTATAATGTTTAAATAATGGTTTAATACGAATTAAGATGCTTATCACAACCTGAAAAAAGTAGCATGAACTGAAATTTTAGGTGATAAAAGATGCAAAATGTAAACAAAGTAGTATTTTAAAAAATCACTAAAACTCCACTCATTACCGAAATGCAACAGAAGCAAGATATGGTTTAGAAAATTGAGCAATGAGTAATATTTGGAAATCATAACAGGACACCAATTAAAAAAAGAGACACATTACGCCTCAGAAATGAATTAATCCGTTCTTTCAGTCGCAACTTTTCGGCCCTTTCCAACAGTCTTTGGATAAGGACCTCGAACACAATAGTATGAATACTCAGAACGGATACGGTGTTTCGGTCTAACCTACGTTAAGAAAAAAAAACACATGTAAACAAAAAGCAATTTAATGCTGGGAGCTGTTAAAAACTCCCCCCCCCCCCGAAATAAATGTAGTCAAAGTCCACATAAAATGGACTAATTTCATAGATATAAAAGTAAACAGTACATTATTTATATACTTATCATTATTCTGTAAATTACAACCTTTATCTGTTTATATGAGAATAAACGTTTCTGTTAAAACAATGACATTTTTACAGCAACATCCCAAGATGTCGCCAAAGCTAGTGTTACTAACGAGTTTCATTTTATATATAATAAATGTACTGTTTAATTCATATTTTTTTGTAACAGACATTAGTAAAAAAATGTGCACTTCTGTCCCGTATGCCCTTTCGCTTTTTTTGTAAATGCTCACTGGAATTGTACAGAGTATATTGGGTAAGTATGAACAAAGAAAATGTTCCAAACCATGCGATAAAATTGGTTATAAAACGCTTCATCCGTGCTTTGATTCAAGATTTAAAAGCTTTTTTCGGTGGAAATAATTCATTCAGCAGATGAACCTTTAACTTTTAGCAGTTGTGTACATGCGAATAAATTCAATTCCATTAATTATCTTTGTTTATATTTATTCTTAGTATCAATATCATTCTCTTTTTGTTTATTATTTTTTCTTTGCTGCTCGGAATAATCTTTACCCCTGCCCAATTGAATCATCTGTGTAAAAAACTACATTGATATAAACAAGGATAAAAAACTTCATTACATTAGTTGAGTTTCCTTCCTATATGAATCAGTGAAAAAACTGTACTGTTATATATCAGTACTGAGTATATTGGGTAAGTATGAACAAAGAAACAGTTCCAAACCATGCGATAAAATTGGTTATAAAAAGCTTCATCTGTGCTTTGCCTTGAGCAGTAACCCGTTTTGGTATCCTTCTGGGCTAATTGTCAATGGTATTATGTTGCTTGTTGATTTTAGGGGATCTGTTCATTAAATATTACCCTTCAATTTTGATCTTTGTTTTCATATTGCTTTCCAAAATTACCATAAATCAACAAGAGCACCGTTACTCTGTTTACGCTCGTCTGTTAAGGGGATCAGCTCTCAGTAACCATTTTTTATCAATGTACAAGTAAATAAGTAGACAAAAAACCTCTCTTAATACTGTTTCCAGATAAAATTCTATTCTTAATATGTAATATGTCTGCAATACTGTTTGTAGATATGTGGCAATATCATTATCAAACTAAGATAACTTAGATAAACTAAGATAAGCCACGTGTTCAAATAAACAAGTATTGAATAACGATATTAGTGTACAAACACTTCTAAAACCTCAATGCATTGCATCACGCTTTCATCATTGGGTACAGTCCATATTAAATATACTCTAGTGCGT